ATACCCCCTTACCAGCGGAAGGGCTACGGCATCTGCCTCCTGAAAACGCTCAACAGCATTGCAATTGCTGATGACGTCTATGATGTCACAATGGAAGAGCCAGTGGAGTCCCTCCAACACGTGAGGACATGCATCGACGTGCAGCGCCTTTTGGCTTTCGACCCAATCCACGAAGCCCTCGACTCAGTCGTCTCACGCCTCAAACACGAGAACCTCTCCAAGAAAAGCCAGCCGTGCAGCAAGTGGGGCCCACCGGCAAAGAGTGTAATCGAGGACGTGCGTAAAAATTTGAAAATCAACAAGAGACAGTTTTTGCAGTGCTGGGAGATACTGATCTATCTTGGCCTAGATGACTGCATCGAGAAATACATGGAGAATTACAAGGCCGTAATTTTGTTTCGCATGAAAGTGGATGTTGTGGGGAAAGAATCTGGAGGGAAGCGTTTGGTTGATATCCCGACTGAGTTTGATGGGGATATGTCGTTCGCGATGTTTAAGTGTCATGAGGATGGGGAGTGTGCAGTTGCTATTGAGAAGGATGAGGGTAATCAGGAAGAGCAGCTGAAGCAGTTGGTGGATGAGAGAATGAAAGAGATTAAGTCGGTTGCTGAGAAAGTTCGTAGTTGAGATACTGTTTTGAAACGGGAATGTGTTTTTAGGGATTTGTGTGAACTGATTAGTTGAATGGCTGGGACCTAATCTAATGTACTTGAACTTGAGGTACTTGTCGATCTCTGTTCATTTTGTGGGCAATGAAACTAACAGGTTGTGATTGTGGGGACGTGATGTTTAGTTAGTGTTTGTCTGGTAGCTGATATTCTGTTTTGCTCAGTGATTATATTTGTTCAATCTGCATTGTGTGTCACCACTGGGGGTGTCCAAAATATGATTAATGGAACTAAAGCAACTGAAATCAAAAATTGGTTTGGATTGAAACTGAAACTGAAAATACAGTTTGGTTTCTTTTATGTTTGTTTCCCGAGCTCTTACCTTGCAGCGTACTTCGCCCATCGTGGCCACCAATTTTGACAGCCTCGTAGAATAGGAGAGCGACGGCGTAGAACAGCTGTAGAGTGGGCCACCTTTGAAGAACTTCGTGAGCAATTTTCGGCCTAGTTCAGGCCTATCCCTCAGGAAGGGCTTCCTGCGCTTATGGCGGAACCGAGACCGCACACAAGTCACGAGATCTTCAAATTCGTCTAATCGAGATGTTGTTCAACATAAACGACGCCATTGACAGCCGGGTTGTTGATTAAACAGAAAATTGCAGGTGTAACAGAGTAAGAGCTTAAATTGCAGTTGAGATGCTTAACCAGCTCAGAAGCTCTTGATTTGGTGGGGCATGTGGAGGACCAATCTCGATCAGAATTCTACAAATTGAACTCCAACTAAATCAGATTAGATATTATGTTAAAGGTGTAGGATGAGATCTGACAGATTTTTAAAGACTGAATCTTGAGCTACTGTTTGTAATCAAAATTTGTGTTTCTCAATTTTATTTTATTTTTTTGAAAAAAATAAAATAAAATTCTTAAAATGCCCTTGAAAATCAGCTTTTTTCTAGACAAAACCACTTTAAATCTAGTTTAGGGGCAAGATGAAATAAATGTAAAGTTTATATGGCAGTTTGTAAAAAAAAATAGTTAATATGGTACGCGACGAATATCGCGATAGTTTAGATGGAAAAAAGTTATTTACCCTTGATAATTGCGTTGTTTGGAATGTTTAGTGTTGATCAAAACCATAACCAAATTGAATTAGTTTGTTTAGAATCTATTTTTCCTTTTTGTGTTTGGATGATCGTACAAAATAATTCGACTAGCCTTCCTTGCAATACGATCTGAGGATCGATTCTCTTGAATTAACTCCGGTAAAACTAACTACACCACATTTCATAATTTCAATGAGTGCATCTTATCAAGTATCATAATTTTAATGAGCGTATATTAATAAGTACGAAACATGTATAAAGGTATCTAATGATATAATGAACCATATGATAATCTGGAGTTCACCAAAAGTAACAGAAAATCAGGACCAAGCGGCTACCGCGAAAGAAGTCCCCAACAATAGTTCGTGATCCATAATAGATTTTACTTGCCAAAATCCTTGATTTATTTTGACAAAGATAATCCACTTAACCCAACGCACTTGAATAAAAGTTTCTCAGAAGTTGTTTCGGCCAAGCTTTTCAAAATCCCAATCAGGAGTTCATTGCTAAATTAATAGCAAAACATATTGAAGTCCTTACAAAGTGTGATACATATTGTAGTGTGGCAACTATAAGATAATATACAAAAAATAATATTAATTCAACAATTTCTATTAATTTCAAGCTGGACAACATATCTAACATGTATCATCAGAAGAAGATATACCATCTTACAAACTCCAATTCTGTTATTTAGCTAAATCAAACACCCAGTGGTAACAAGGAGATACAAAAATTTCATAGGCTAAACTCATAATAATTACAATATCTTGCACTGAGGCTGCATAATTTTCAGTGGTGTCTTAAATAAAATCACACAAACTAAGCTCCTTTCAGTTATACACAAGCGACAAAACCAGCAAATGTTGCACCATCACCACCTATAACTCAGCCAACCATGGCTTCTTAAAAAACATGCAGACCTAATTTATGCCGACAAATACCCAGCAAATCACAGAATAGAGATCTCAAGAACACAAGACCAATGAACCTAGAATTTGTAATGCAAATGGTAATGCATCCTACTAACACCAGACGAATAGAACTACAACACAGTTGATTTACAATAAATTATGTTTGATCTCCACAAACAGAAATGAGTCAAAATCAATTATACATCATTTATAACATTTTCCTGTGGAGTTCAATAACAGATGTTGATTCTCTGGCAGATTTGATTTCCAGTTATCACTCAACGTCACTTCAACTAACGTGAAGGTTCATAACAAAAAATAGATAACCCAAATTTCAAGTCAGCGAAATTATACTCAACATATTGCAGTAAAAATGTTTTGAAACAACCAAAATCCTGACATATCTGGCAACTGAAAAAAAACACAACATATTGGAAAACAATTAAAGGAGGACCTATCCGAACAACCAATTGCACCACTTCACTTCTCGGATGAGTTCGGTCCACGCTTCTTACCGAAGCCAACAACTGCGGGAAATGAAAAACAAAAACGCAAAACCAACATTATACATCATAAACAACTAAAACTTATCTATGTGCATAAATATCAGATCACAAGCAATACCAATTAAGGAAATTTTATCCTCAAATGAAAAATAACTCTCAACATCTCACAGCCTAAACAAATATAGCAGAAAATACAAGCAAATATACATTGTACGATCCCTCCAATCAGTAACTGAAACCTAATTTATAAATTAAAACCTAAAACACTTGGAGTGTGGAATTAACAAAAAGCAACTGGGACCTAATTTAGCAAACAAAAACAAACCAAAAAAACAGTGCGGGAAACTGAAATTTACCGGCGGTAACAAATCGGCGATTGTACTGCATACGCTTGTGGGCGCGTCCACGCGGTTTCTTCTTCTTGTCCTGCTTCGCCACCTTCGGCGTCTGGCCTCTGACCTTACCAGCACGAGCCAATGATCCGTGTACCTTACCTGCAAAACAATTTAGTTCTCCATTTAGAACCAATAGCCGATGGACATTAAAACAGTCGAATTACGAAACAGTAACATGAATGAAATTACCCATGTTTGAGTTTGATCAGCTTCAGTGATGCTGGGCGAGCTGCTTCAGGTGGAGGAAATTGCGTCGGGTGAAAGAGCGCTTTTTAGGGTTATTAGGGCATTTTCTTATTTTATAATGTTTTTATTAAGTAGGCTGGACTTATGAGCTCGTTATTATTGGGCTCCTTAATAGCATTGTAATACTTTGTGGGCTTCGCCCTAGTTTTGTTCATTTATGAGAAAATTACACGTTAATCTTTAAATCTTATCTTATATTTATATCTCTATCTCTATATCTATAAAAAGTTTGATTATTTTTAAATAATAATTATTTTCTTTCAATTTCTTTTTTACTAATTTTAGAAATATATTATTCAATTTATGGTATTGTGTTGTCAAATTAAATGGGATCTTAAATCAATCAATACTTATATTAAAGGGAGTACTATTTACCAAATTAAGTAGCCAGAAAAGTCAACAGCATTTATTGCATTACTATTTCCGTATTATATTATATAAAAGGATATTCTATTTACTACATTTATTATCCAGAAAAGTCATCTGCATTAAATGTCATTACTATTTTAGTATTATAATATTTTATTTATTTAATTGATTTATTTATTTATTTTATTTTAAAAAGATAAGTATAATAAAAAGATTTTAATAATAAAAAAATTAAATACCACATAAAAATGTATACTTTGACTTATGCGATTATATTTGGTATTTGATTATACCAAATATATTCCTATTTAGTATATACATTAAATACTTATTAAAGTATTTATTTGTTTTATTTGTCAAAGTTAAGTATAGATTTGTTTATATTATCAAATCATAAAAAATCTTAAATCCATATTGTAAAAAAAAATTCATATAATTTTATAACAATTCTACTACACTATTTAACAATATTCCTTTTTTATTATATAATAAAATAATAATTAAATATTATATGGTGAACAACAATAAGTAAAACTGTTACTTTCTCTTATATCAAGGGATAAATTTATATGCTAAAATTAAATTTTTATTGGTATAAATATTTTAGTGAGATAATATATTTATTATTTTATAAGCTAGCCCTAACATGCTCATATTTAATGTTTTAAAAGATGTAGAAAAAAAACTTATAATAACTCTATTATTTTTTAGACTTAAACGTTGATTAAAAGAGGTACAAATTTCTAATTTTTTAGATTTAAACGTTGATTAACACCATAGATTGAGAGCTTATATTTAGTAAAATTCCTAATTGTAATAAAAAAATTAATTTTTGCTATATTTTAGAATATCTTTAAATTCATTATAAAAAAAAGAAAAAAAAACTACAATAAAAAAAACAAGTCAGCTATATATCGATTTGTTGTACTCCTCAAATCTCATTCACAATTTGGCTACAAGGAAATGAAACTCATTGATTAAAATATTATTTTATCAGTAGTCTTAATGTACACGAGACTTTAAGACTCCACTTGAATATTATAAAATTTTTATTGAACATCGTACAATTTCTTACGTATTATAAACTTTTATTGAATATTGTATCTTATAATATAATATTCTCCAAATAAATATATCTCGCGGGTCACGTACTATATATATTCCGTACATTTTTCTTTATTCATGTATATAATTATAAGTCTGAATAAATAGCCTTAAAATTTCCGTACATTTTTTTTTATTCATGTATATAATTATAAGTCTGGATAAATAGCCTTAAAATTGTGCACGGGCTCTGTCCTAGTGGTATATTATGGGCGGATGCTTATGAAATAACGTGTAATTGATATATTAGTGAATCTTTTTATTGATAAAGAATGGCAGATTTATTTGGTATTAAATATGAAAAAATGCAAGGTTTTAAGAAATAAGAAATTATTCGTTTCATTTTTCGTTCAATTACTTCACTTCGAGCTTCGTCGGGTGGAAAAGCCCAAAGGAATATGATGGCTTCTCCTTCATCTTTATCTCCGCCGGAGATATTCATGGAACTACACGTGGCCAACCGAAAGAAGCTATTAGGTTCATTTCGCGACCATCTCTCTCTCTCCTCTCGCCCTCTCAGTGGCTTTGTCCTTCTGCAGGTATCGAAAATACTTTTACGGTCTATTTTGGAGTATTTCTGTTGATATTCATTTGACTTTCATTTCAACTTCGCAGGGAGGTGAAGAGCAGACTCGGCACTGTACCGATCATATCGAATTGTTCCGGTAATCTGTGAGATTCTCNTTGTTAATTGTGTAGATGATTATATTCACATTCACATTCTTTTACACTGCTCCTGTAGGTACTGAGTTAGGAATTTATGTATTGAGAATTCTTGATTCAGTTGTATTTATGACGCCTTAATTTTCTTGTGGTTTCACTATCACTAGGTTGATGATAAATAGGGTCAGTGTCAGGTTCTGGAATAACAACATTTACGATTTCTATTAACTTTATAACTGGTGTAAGGTATGTTATACGCGCAGGCCTTCAGTGTTAGTTTTTGATTAATTGTTTGTCCCACATCGAATGTATACCAAAGATGTGTAGGATCTTATTAGTATAAATAGGTCCCTTGCCTTTGGGTTACAATTGCACCTTATTCTATTCTCTATTCTCTCCTCTCTTGGTAGGAAATCCTTAATTAAGGAAATCCTAATTTGTGGGTTATTTAATCCTAATTGTATTTTGTTGGTGAGTTTAGTAAATTTGGCGTTGCGGTTGGCGGTGCCCGGAGACGTAGGCTATTTTCGTCGAACTCCGTTATCAATTTTTGTGTCCTTTTTTTCCGTCTTTTATTTATTTGTGTTGGCTTATTTTCGTTTGGAGTAGTGCTTGTCATATTTGTTGGAGGGGTATTTTTGTTCGCTGCGTTTGGTGTTCTACCCCAACAAGTGGTATCAGAGCCGAAGGTTCGCCCTAGGCTAATTCGAAGAGGCGAGCACTGCATTCGAGTTCAAGATGTCCAAGGAGGTCAAGGGCGCATCATCCTATGCATTCATTCCGGCAAGGACGGTGATGCCGAACGTCAGGCTCCCGGTGGAGATCTTCGATGGGACCGGGCATTTCGGCATGTGGCAAGGCGAGGTGCTGGACTGTCTATTTCAGCAAGGCGTCGACATTGCAATTGAAGAAGAGAAGCCAACTGACGTTGAAGAGAAGGACTGGAAGAATATCAACCGCTTAGCATGTGGAACAATTCGTTCGTGTTTGTCGAGGGAGCAGAAGTACGCATTCAAGAATGAGAATTCTGCTCACACTTTGTGGAAGGCTTTGGAGGATAAATTTCTGAAGAAAAGCGGCCAGAATAAGCTCCTCATGAAGAAGCGATTGTTCCGATTTGAGTACCGGCATGGCACATCGATGAATGACCACGTCACTGCATTCAATCAGTTGGTTGCAGATCTGTTGAATTTGGACGTCACATTCAGCGATGAAGATTTGGCTCTAATTTTGTTATCATCACTTCCGGATGACTTCGAGCACTTGGAGACTACTCTGCTCCATGGGAAGGACGATGTAACTCTTGCGGTGGTCAGTTCTGCTCTGTATAGCTACGAGTTGAGGAAGAAGAACAAACAAGAGACGAAGAATGCAGCAGCAGAAGATGAAGCGTTAGTTGCAAGAGGTCGGTCGAAGAGCCAAAAGAAGAATGGACGAGGAAGATCACGTTCCAAGGCCAAGCTTGAAAAAGACGAGTGTGCTTTATGCCATGAGAAGGGACACTGGAAGAAGGACTGTCCTAAGTTGAAGAAGAAAGGCAAATCTCCTCAAGATGCATATGTTGCTGAGGGTGGAAGTGAAGACTCAGAATTTTCACTTGTGGTTTCACCTTCATCATCTCATCCAGATGAATGGATTTTGGATTCAGGATGCACCTACCATATGTCTCCCATAAGGGAGTGGTTCTTTGATTTTCAAGAGATCAATGGAGGGGTTGTCTACATGGGTAATGATAATGCTTGTAAGACAACCGGGATAGGTTCAATCCGTTTGAAGAATCGCGATGGTTCCACCAGAGTTTTGACGGATGTTCGGTACGTGCCGAGTTTGAAGAAAAATCTCATCTCATTAGGAGCCTTGGAATCCAAAGGCTTGGTAGTGACTTTACGAGATGGAGTTATGAAGGCTACATCCGGCTTGCTCGTGGTGATGAAAGGCATCAGGAGGAATAATTTGTATTACTATGAAGGCGATACAGTTGTTGGGACAGCAACAGTAGCAGATTCCACCAACAAGGAGTCTGAAGCAGTCAAGTTGTGGCATATGCGGTTGGGACATGCTGGTGAAAAATCCTTGCAGACATTGGCAAAACAAGGACTGTTGAAAGATGTCAAAGTGTGCAAATTAGACTTTTGTGAGCATTGTGTTCGGGGAAAGCAGAAGAGAGTGAAGTTTGGAACGGCTATCCATAATACCGAAGGTGTCTTGGATTATGTTCATTCGGATGTTTGAGGACCTTCTAAGACCCCATCATTAGGCGGAAGACGCTATTTTGTCACTTTCATCGATGACTTTTCCAAACGCGTTTGGGTGTACACTATGAAGACGAAGGATGAAGTGCTTGGTGTCTTCATTACATGGAAGACGCAAATTGAAAATCAGACTGGAAGGAAGATCAAGGTCCTACGAACGGACAATGGTGGAGAATATACAAGTGATCCATTTCAAGAAGTTTGCCGGAAAAATGGCATTGTTAGGCACTTCACTGTTAGACGGACACCACAACAAAATGGGGTGGCGGAGCGCATGAATCGAACACTGGTGGAGAAAGTTCGATGTATGTTGTCCAATGCTGGTTTGGGCAAGGAGTACTGGGCTGAGGCTGTAACATACGCGCAACACCTCATAAATCGATTGCCGTCATCTGCAAAAGATGGTAAAACACCGTTGGAGGTATGGTCGGGGAAACCTGTTGCTGACTATGGATCTTTACATGTCTTTGGGTGTCCTACGTTCTATCATGTGAAGGATTCAAAGTTAGATCCAAGAGCGAAAAAGGCTTTGTTCATGGGAATCACAATTGGCGTGAAG